AGACGCGTGACAGTAGGGTGTGCAGCACGAAACCGGTCAGACTCAGAGTCTGGAACGTCAGGCAGAGAGGACGCAGGAGGAGATGGCAGAGGAACAGGCTGCGGAGCAGAGGAAGGATGAAGGGCGACGAGGTGCGCGCCGGGGACAACCGGCGGACGCTGACGAGGAACACGACGACCGGTACGACCAGGACGAACAGGCGAAACAGGACGCGACGCAGGCTCACGACGCTCAGCAAGACCTCCTGTCTGCTCAGTGTAAGGAGAAGGAGCAGGCAGCAGTGAGCCAGGCTGTAACGGAAGACCAGTAGAAGACGGGAGACTAAGAACCTGGCGAAGCACAGAGTCAGGCGGTGGCTGAGACGACGGAGCGAAGAACAGTCGCGTCGGTGCAGTGCCACCAGCACCATCAGATCCAGCACCTCCAGTAGCTCTAGTACCCCCAGTAGCTCCAGCACCTCCAGTAGCTCCAGCACCCCCAGCAGCTCCAGAACCTCCAGCACCAGCACCTCCAGGACCAGCTCCACCAGCAGTAGCACCCCCAGAACTGGCACCTCCAGTCCCAGGGTCTCCAGCCTCAGTGTCTCCAGCAGCAGCACCCCCAGACGCAGCACCTCCAGCCCCAGCAGCTCCAGTACCTCCAGTACGAGCACCTCCGGGACCAGCGACTCCAGCACCTCCAGTAGACAAAGTACCAGCACCACTCCTAGCTCCAGCGACGTGAGGAGAAGCACCACCAGCGACAGAGCCCCGAGCTCCAGCAGCGCGACCCTGACGGCGACCGTACCACTCGTGCAGCTGCTGTGAGGTGAGAGGCACACGTGGACGAAGGCGGCCACTCCATAGAGACCGCGCATTAGAAGTCGCAGTACCCTCAGGTGCCGCCCTGACTTAGCACCCCCAGGCTCCTCACGCTCAGGCTCAGCACCCCCAGACGCAGCACCCCCAGGCGCAGTACCTCCAGTCTCCTCACGCTCAGGCTCAGCACCCTCAGGCTCCTCACGCTCAGGCTCAGCACCTCCAGACTCAGCACCCCCAGGCTATGCATCCCCAGGCTCAGCACCCCCAGGCTCCTCACGCTCAGGCACAGCACCCCCAGACTCCACACCCTCTGGCTCAGCACCCCCAGGCTCCTCTCGCTCAGGCTCCGTACCCCCAGGCTCAGCACCCCCAGAAGCAGCACCCCGAGCAGGACCAACCCCAACAGGACCTGAGTCACCAGTGACCTCAACAGGCGCAGGCACAGGAGGGTCTACCTGAGAAACACCTGAAGGAGCAGGACCTGGCGCGGGGAGGGGGTCTACCTGGGAAGGACCTGGAGCGAGAAAGAGCGGCGAGGGGGGGCCAGGGGCAGTGCGGTAGGAAAAAAGACGATAAAAGGGGACTGACTCGTCAAAAGTGACGTCCTGAGACGCAAAGACACGGCGCGAGGTGGGGTCGTAAAACTGCCAGCCAGGCGCGTCAGGAGGAAAACCAAGGAAGACGCAGGGAATGGCGCAAGCAGAGAGCTTGTCCGCGGTGAGATCGCGGACAAAGGCACGAGCACCCCAGACCCGGAAACGCGACGCATCGCCAACCTCCCCCATCCACAACAGTGTGAGGGAGGTCTCCGGCAAGGAGACACGGGGCCAGAGGTTGAGCTGATGCGCGGCGTACCGGACCGCAAATGGCCACAGAAAATGGGGAGCCGCCGCGGATCATGGAGGTACGAGCAACCTCCATGACTAAGCCAATGCGGCGCTCAGCAACCCCATTCTGCTGCGGAGAGGCCGGAAGCGTGAACGACTGGCGGATGCCGTGCTCCTCACAGAAGGCTCGCAAGAGGTCAGAGGTGAACTCACCACCTCTGTCAGAGTGCAGACGCAAGACAGGAAAGTCCCGCTCGAACCGCTCGCGGAGCTGGAGACGAACAGCGCGGATCCAAGGGATCAGAACAGCAGGGACGTCCCCCTTGCGCTGCAAGGGGAAGACCGTGGTGTAACGCGTGTAGTCGTCGACAACCAACAGGAAGTACCGCTCGTGGCCCTGTCCCTGGACGCGGGCTGGGCCCCACACATCCAGGTGGAGAGTCTGCAGCGGAGCCTCTGTGGGAGGGAACGAGGAGGAGTGAGGAGCGGCGCGCTGCCGCCCCTCGACGCAAGGAATGCAGGGCGGCGCAGGCGAGGGAGGGAGGGCAGGCAGAGACCTGGGAAGACCAGAGACCAGGGAGCGAGAGTGCATGCCACGAAGGTGAGGCAGGGAGGGGTGACCAAGGCGGTGGTGCCACAGGAGAGTGTCGTGCGACAGGCGGCGACACTCACACTGGGTAGCTACCTGAGCAGACACATACATTTGTGGAGACAAAGGGGTGTAGCGTGAAACAGTGGTGAGGGTGTACAGACTGGACCCAGGCTCACGAGTGAACGTGGCCAGGTGGCGGCCAGTCTTGGAGCACGTGAGGATCGCCACACGCTGTCCTCCAGGAGTCCAGGTGTCAACCCAATTATCCTGAAGGACGGCGTTGCTCACCAGGTTCGTAGAGAACGAGGGGATGTGGAGACCTGACAGCTCACCAGACGGGACCGCCGGGCACGGAAGCACAGTCGTGGCTCGTGCAAGCACTGGGCCCCCAGAGGGGTCAGCCAGTGAGACAGGGACAGGTGCAGGGAGGGGAGTGACTGTGGTGCTGTCGCGAAAGAAACAGCGGGAAGCACCAGAGTCAAGTGTAAACGTGTGCAAGGCCTGAGCCGACGCAGTACCAGGGGGAGCAGACTCACTAGCACCTAGGGCTGCAGCCCCTATACCTGGATCAGGCGGCATACACAAGTAGCAGTCACCCTCAGCACTAACAGTCAATGCATACATGGTAGCAAAAATAGCATCATAGTCAAGATCAAAGATAGGAACACCACGCCTAAGCAGGTCTGCCCAGTTGGGCAACTCAGTAGCTGCAAGAAACTTGACGCGCCAAGCGTCGCTAAGCCGAGCAAAGCAGCGATACTCAGTGTGAAGACCATTGCATGGGCGACCAGCGCGGGGACCTGCGCGAATGATATAGGGGCAGTGACCAGGACCCCCAGACGCCCCACGCCCACCATACCAGTCATGGAGCTGCTGAGACGTAGGGGCCTGGCGCTGTCGCTGCTGCTGCTGCTGCTGCTGCTGCCACCACTACTGCCACCACCACCGGCTCCTCCCCCACTACCACCGCCGCCCCCACCACCACTGCCACCACCCCGACCACCCCCCCTCCTCCACCTCCCCCACCACCACCACCACCTCCCCCTCCATCGCCACCTCCACCTCCCCTGCCAGCCCCTCTGCCCCTGGCGCTGCGGCGCTTCCCACTAGGAGCGGAAGCAGCCCCGACCTCCTCAGCACCAAGGAAGTCGACAGCAGCAGCAGCAGAGGCGTAGGAGGGGGCAAGGGGGGAGGGGGAGCACCCCTCAAAGAGGGGAGTGCGAGGAGTGCCACGAGCCGCACCTACAGAAAGGATGCTCTTCTCAGCTGCGAGGAGGTGCGTCTTGAAGTCGTCGACGGTGAGAGCGGTAGGGTCTAGAGCGAGAAAGTGGTCCCTGACTGAGCGAAGAGTGTCAGGGAGGCGGGTGACGAGGAAGTAGAGCGTAAAGTACATCGGAGGGGTGTTCTTGGCGAGGAACTCGTCCTTAAGGGCGGAACGAAAGCGAGTGTCACTAGCGCGCAGGTGAGCGATGAGGTACAGGTCGGGGAACAGGTAGGGTAGCATGAGACGACCTAGGGCTGCAGTGGCCGGGGAGGAGTAGCGCGCAACTACAGCGTCATACAGTGCCTTAGCAGTCTTGTGCTGGCTAAAGTGCGCGCGCTCAGTGATCGGCAGATGATTGCGAATAGCGAGGCGCGCAGCAGCATCGCGAGTCTGCCACTGTGAGCGGTCGAGAGCAGGAGCATCGTCAGCAGGAGCAACGGCAGTGCCAGACGTGTGATCGAACAGTGAAACGCCATCTTTGGCATCAGTCATAAGGAGCAGGTTGAGGTCGTCGAGCCACGTGGTGAACTCTATCGGGCGACCGTCAGGCTCAAACGCGAGAACATTAAGCGTCGCCAATATCGCAGTGCAGGCGAAGGCAACAGGCAAAGGTAGTAGGCGAAGACAGCAGGCAGAAGCAGCAGGCAAAGGCAGCAGACATAGGCAGCAGGCAAAGGCAGCTGGTTCAGGCAGCAGGCAAAGGCGGCGCGCAGAGCAGCAGTGGACCGCATGCAGGCTGCGGAGGCGCGGCGCGAGCAGGTAGGGCGGCGCGCGGGGCTGCGGCGGGCCGCACGCGGGCTGCTAAGGCGCGGCGCGGGCTGCTTGGGCGGTGCGCGGGGCAGCAGCGGGCTGCGCACGGGCTGCGCGGGCTCGGCGCGGGCTGCGCGGGCTCGGCGCGGGCAGCTGCGAGCCGCGCGCGGGCTGTGCAGGCTCGGCGCGGGCTGTGCAGGCGGCGCGCGGGGCTGCAGCGGCCTGCGCGGGCTGCGAACGCGGCGCGCGGGGCTGCAGCGGCGGACGCGGCGCGCGGGGCAGCAGCGGGCTGCGCGCAGGCTGTCGAGGCGCAACGCGGGCAGCGAGCTGCGCGCGCTCTAAGCAGCAGCAGACAGCGCAGACAGCAGACAGACGGCGCGCGCAGCGCAGCACGTCACAGGCACAGTCACAATCGCAGTCGTGGGGTAGCGGTAGGTGGGCCCGAAAAAAAAAAAACGGTCCTACGGACCTACTGCTCTGAAACCATGTCAGAAACTAGAGACAGGAATGATTGAACTAGAACAGAGTTGGGTACCCCATGTTGGCTACCCCACTACAGCCTACACAAATATAACCTATATAGTTTGACACACAACACTTCTCTCTAGTAAATACGAAGAATAATTCTTATAAGACTTTCCATTATTACAGAATTCTCTCAAGCCTTGTCGATTTGAAGGGATTGTCTTAGCTTGAACAAATAACCTATCTACAATGTGAACATGTGCCTATCTTCTACTAATGGGAAAAATAACGTTTCAGAGCATTTAGCTCCTACTTCCTACAATTTTCGCAAGCGGCTGGACAGCAATTACAGATCTAACAGTGTATACTCCATCAGTCCATGACAAGCTTCCAAATGCAAAGGACGGAGAGGCCTGTTGCACCAGGAAACTGACGTTGTATATTGCAGTAGACCAAGGCTCCACAACCAACAACTCCGGCCTCACATCGACAGCTACACCTTGTGGTGCCACGACTGTCGGCTTGTACACAGACCTCTTGCCCGTCACATCTCGCACTGTTCTCGTCACCACCACCCCTCCCTTCAATGCGCTCACAGCAATGTTTGCTTGGTTCAGGTTGTATGTAGGAAGAGGCTGCTGAGCAAGCCCTCGTGGTAAGGACCCAAGCAAACCCGTATTCCTGGTCTTGAGCTCATCCACAGAAATCAAGAACCGGATCATATCTGCTGACGTGGCATCATACACCAAACCTGGATTCACCGCAGCTGTGGGGGTCAAGTGCCCGGAGCCCATGTGAAACGGGGAGGCGTGGCGCCCTGACTCTGTTGGGATGGGTCGGCCAAAGCGCGTGCGTGCAGAGGCGGAGGTTTGGATGGCAGACTTGACGGCGAAGGGGCTCCAGTTGGGGTGCGCCTGTATGAGCAGAGCTGCTGTGCCCGCCACATGCGGGGTGGCCATGGACGTGCCGCTGTTCACGTTGAACGCCGACGCTGCTGCTCTCACCACTCCTGCACACGGCCCAGGGAATTGGGGGGGGGGACAAGGAAACCCATGTGAGCAGCTGCCCATGGCCGCATACCAACTCAACGCTGATGCTTTAGCCCTGCACGTCAAAACATCAGCACACCCATTGCTAACTCTATAATGCAAGTGTGGATCCCTGCCAGTGCGCCTGCAATGCTGAGCAGGTGTGAGTTGAGAGGGGGGTGGGTCTGACCGGGGGCAATGGTGCTGAGCGCGTCCTGCTTGACGGACTGCGTCCACGCGGCCCATATCTCCACGCCCGGCGCCGCCACATCGGGCTTCACCACGTCGTTCAACTGGCGCCCAAAGGCGCGCCCCGCCGCCCCCTCCAGGTCCTCCACTGGGCCCGTGGACGAGAAGGCTGCGACGGTGGGCGCATCGCCGTACACTGTGAGCGCAGCGGACAGGGACCCCAGGGGGCTGGCAGCACCACAGGGAAAGGTGAAAACAGTTGCTCACACACCATTCATAGCTTTCCTTTTCCTGTGGGTGTCGCTGTGCGTGGTATGTGAGGGCAGCAAGGCAGAGCAGTGCGAAGAGAGAAAGAGGGCAGGCAGGTGTGGCAACAGCAACCTTACTGGATTCTCCAAGCACCCAGTGACCTCATGCTCGGGCTCTGCTGCTGCCGCAAGGCACAGCCAGTGAGCTGAGAGGTATGCGTGTAGGCAAACGCCGTGGTGGCACGTGAGTCTGCAGTGCTGACACCCTCGTTGCTCGTGCTCACCTGGTGGTGCTGCGCAGCAACGCCAGCAGGGGCTGCATGGCCCACACGTTCAAGTGGCATGCTGGGATGGCATGCAGCACAGCAGCTGTACCCATCTTGGGGGCTGCGTTCACGATCACCACGCCCGCTGCCCCGTAAGCGGCCGCCACGCGGCTGATTGCGAGTGTATCAGTAGCGCGGTCAGGGTCGACGCTGTCTGAGTCGCGACGCATGCACACTAGGATGGCGCCCCTCACCTTGCCACCGTCCAGCGACCCCGCCTCGCAGTAGCGCGCCTGGTCGTGGGAGAGGGAGGGTGCAAGGGGAGGAAGTTGGGTGTGACGCCATGTGGCTTTGCATGTGGCGTGAGTGAGCGTGCCCCCACATGCAACAGGAGGGCTGGCTGGAGCGAGTGCGATTGGAAAGGGATTAGGATGGGCACGGGAAATGAGGTATGCGCACAGGACTGGCGGCCTGAGGGAGCAAGAGGAATGGGACGGGCGGGGGGTGGAAGGTAGACCCTTGGACGAAGAGCAGAGAACCCAGCTGCTGGAAGGTGGCCTGGATAAGAACGACGGTGGGCGACATGGGGAGGGGAGGGGAAAAGGAGAGAAGACAGGGTTTTGACACGGGGCAAAGCATGGGCGGGGAAGGACACCTGGGCCCGCTGTGGGAACCCTCAAGTGCACGTGCTGTCCGCATGGGCTGAGGGTGAGGTGCGGAATGATGATAGCTCGCTCACAGTAACTGGTGTGTGCAGCACGGCAGCTGTGGATGGATGACCAAGACAGAGTGGAAAGGAATTAACGGGCCATGAGGACCACTGCACTCGCTTTGGAAGTCTTGAGCACGTAGGAGTGCGTCAATGCAACCCCCCACACCCTTCTTGTTACCTGCCTCTGTAGCTGCGCCGGACACAGCTCGCCCTTCCCTCTGCGCGCACCTGTGGTGCGATGGGTCAACCATTGCACCCACCCATCACAGCGTGCCTGCTTACCCGCGCTTTCGATCGCCCTGCACCCACTGCAGCCTCCCCTTCCACGAGGGGAAACACCGCGGGTCCCGCGGCAGCGTGCGCGGCTTTGGTGAGAGGCGGCTGGCCCACGAAGGAGAGCCCCACGAAGGTGCGGTTGCCCGCCACCGTGAGCTTTGTGGCGTAGCGCCGCCCAGTATCGCTGCGCGGGACACAAGGGAGAGCGCGCAAGACAAAAGGGCACATGTTGAGCACTTTGGCAAAGAGGATGGCTGATTGCACAGCGAGTGTGTGAGTGTGTGTGTGTGTGTGTGTGTGTGTGTGTGTGTGTGTGTGTGTGAGTGTGTGTGTGTGTGTGTGTGTGTGTGTGTGTGTGTGAGTGTGTGTGTGTGTGTGCGTGTGCGTGTGCGTGTGTGTGCGTGTGCATGTGGGTGTGTGTGTGTGTGTGATTGTGTGTGTGTGTGTGTATGAGTGTGTGTGTCTGTGCATGTGCATGTGCGTGTGCGTGTGCGTGTGCGTGTGTGTGCGTGTGCATGTGGGTGCGCGCGCGCGCGCGCGCGCGCGCGCGCGTGTGTGTGTGTGTGTGCGTGCGTGCGTGCGTGCGTGCGTGCGTGCGTGCGTGTGTGTGCGCGCGCGCGTGTGTGTGTGTCTCAGGGCACATGTTGGGGTGCTGGCACGGTGCAGCAGCACATGGGGCCTGCACGACATGAGTGAGGGCGGCACGAATGCTAGTGGCGGCAGGCGCGTGGCACGAGCAGGGAGATGAGGCGAAGCAGTGGGTGGCAGAGGGCCCGACCTGGCGGCGACGGTGGTGTACCAGGGCGCGGGGTGGTCCAGCATGCTCAGCAGCTGCCCGCCCATGTTGCCCGCCGCCACCGCCGTGAAGATGCCCGCCTGCTCATGCACCACGCCCCGCACACACACTCCAATGCATCACTACCACCTCCCCGCACACGCGTGCTGGCAATGCGCGAGTTCCAGCACGGCCTTGGGCAGCGGGGAGAGGCACACGAAAGTATTGTGCGGGCACGACAGCATGGCGTGCTGCCATGCGCCACTCATGACAGCCTGGCGGCGCGCATGATGCATGGCGCAGTACGGGCGTGACCTGAGCGGCGTGCAGGAAGGCGATCTCGTCGGCGTCGAAGGGCGACGAGAACATCTTGCCCAGCGACTGGCTCACCACGTCCACGCCGTCCGCCATCGCCGCCTCGATCGCCGCCACCACGTCCGCCGTGTCCGCGCTGTAGCTGCCGTCCTTGCCCGCCCACACCACCTGGTGCTCGCCACGCAACCAAAACACAAGGCAGCTGCCGTCGTTGCCTCTACCGGAATGCGATGCAAGCGCCTGTTCTGAATTCAAAGGCAGTCGCGAATTACACATGCGCACTCCTCTCGCGAGGGAAACCCACAGCGTGCCCCACGTGGTGTGAAGCAACGACGTGCGCAGCCCAAGGTTGGTTGCGCGGGCGCGATTGTGGCAGTGTGGCGGGCGGGCGTACCTTGTAAACGGCCACGCGGGCCCTGGGCGCCACGCCACTGGCGGTGCCGAACGTCACGTTGCCCAGGGTCACTTGGTTCCACTGGTTGCCCGCTGCCGTGCTGCCCGTGCGCGCACGCGCAACACAACAGCGGGAGGGGGAAGAGCAGCAGGGGCAGGTCAGCGCGTGGAGGCAGGGCAAGGGGCACAGCAGGCAGCTGCAGCGATTCCAGCAAGCAAGGGGCGCGCTCCTTGCGTGCCTGCTGTGAACCGTGCCACGTGTGGTGCACGCAACGTCAAGCGGCCGTGCAGCCATACCAACCCGTGCGGCAACCCCTGTGGCGGAGCGCGCGCGAGCGCAGCGGCGTACCTGGAGGTGTGCGTGCCGTGGCCCACGACGTCCCTGGGCGACGCGTAGTCTCGCCGCCAGTCCACCGGGCCGTCCGCCGCAAAGCCCTTGCTGAAGAACCGCGCGCCCACCAGCTTGCCGTTGCACAGCCGCGCCGGGAAGTCCACCGCATTCTCCCTGCCGCACCCCCCCTTCCACCGCGCGGGAACGGGGCCATATGGAGGGGAGACCTGTCATGAGAAGAATGGGGCAGGCAGGAGGGCAGAAGAGAGGGCAATCACACCTGAGACTCGCCGGACAAGTGGGGTGAGCGAAATGGGTGCCCAGCAGCACAGCGATGAAGGGAGCGCACGGCCATGCAGCAATGTGCCGGCCACTCGCCCGGGTCAATCGCGCCTATGCCGACCTCTTTCCCTTCGAGCCCTTTCCCAATAGACCTGCCCAGCCCCAACCTCTCCAATGCACACAGACCAACTTTGTTGAGGTTTTCCCGCCACACGCCCACACTGGTGGCTCCTGCATCTCCCCTGTGCAGCCCCCCCACCTCCGCAATCGGCGGGCGCAACCCCAGTAGGCACGCGCGATGCTGAGAGACGCACTTGGTTGGTGAAGGCGGGGTTCTCGGGCCACACGCCCGTGTCGATGACGCCCACGATCACGTCCTCCCCCTTCAGCACCCTGCCCCGCTCGTCCTGCCACCGCCACATGCGGTTGCGCAGCCCCAGCAGCGACGGCGTGTACGTGGTGCGCGCATGCAGCCGCGCGGACGCCGACACCGCCGACACGCCAGGCTGCTTGCGCAGAGCAGCCGCCTGCGCGGGGGTGAGGCGCACTGCTGCTCCGTTGAGCGCAAACGTGTAACTGGGGCGGGGAGGGGAAGCGAGGTCCATGGGTGGGCGCACGGTGGGGAAATTGAGCGCAATCCTGCATGCTAGCGCAAAGCGCGCGAGGGGGGGTGTCGGGATGGCGGTGCTCACCTGTACAGCTTCTGCTTCCCCGCATCCACGCCGCCCCGTGCCAACTCCGCATCTTGCATCGCTTGCACGTGCTGCGAGTACGCCACCACCCGCTTATCACTAGAGTCCAAACGATACCGCCCAAATTTGCCTCTCCCGCGGCCTCGCGACGACACGGCGGTGGGGCTGAGGCCCTCAAATCCACCGGTGTACGCGGTGACAGGGGGCGCTGTGCGGAAACGGACGATGTAGACTGCGAGGGAGAGGGCGGGCGGGATAGATGGGTGTGGAGAGGGACGGTAGGGGATAGAGAGTATAGTGGAAGGTGAAGGGATAGGGAATGTGTTGGTGTTGGGGCGGTGTATACTGGGGCAAGAGGGCGCGGAGGAGGAATCGCCTATTACACCTTCCATGCAGTAAATAGAAACCATGCAGCTGCGACTGGGCGGAAGCGCAAGGTGTACCATTGGTAACGGGGATGGACAGGGGGGTTCAAGATTCTGCATCATACAGTCACAGCAGTTGCGCGGTTCTCGCTAAACGTTGCCGGGCCGCGTGGTGAAAGTTGGGGAGCAAAAAAGAAGCGGGCGGTGTGTGCGGGAACGCCAGTAATCCTCCTACGCGCAAATCCTACCTCTCGAAGCTTTCGCGTCATTCCGGCTCGTTCCGCCTGCATTTCCTCCAGGTCGCCTCTCAACCTCCTTCCCGGCACTGCGCACGTTCCTGTCGCCCGCCGCTATTATCGCGTTCACGCGCTCCGTCGCCGCTCCTGCTCCGCCCGTCGCCTCCGCTGGTATAAGCGGGGGCGCATCGAGAGCAGACGCGGCAGCAAGGGCAAGCACGTGCGCGGCGAGAAGGAGGAGGGCGCGAAGCAGCAGCGCGAATGAGGGCGGAGGATGGAGGCGAGAGGTGGTGAGTGGTGGACTGGCATCATTGATGGGTGTTGTGGTCGCTTCTATGGTGGGACAACTCGCTCGCAACATACATTGCCGTCGCGGTCTTCGAACTCCGCCCCTGGCGCGTGGTAGCGGGACGAGGACTGTGGGGGAAGGGCAGCGTGTGGAAATAGACAGCGCCATTGGCCTCTCTAGCTTTGTGTTGGTGAGTTGTGCGTCAGAGCAGTCGTGACTGCGATAGCTGCTCTTCCTGCATGTATACAAACCGTCCCACGTCATTCAAATTGCCTGCATGGTAAGGAAATGACTGGCGTTATTTCAGAAAGGTGCAGAGCTCAACGAAAGTGGTAGACGGTGAATGTTGCTTTCATTGGTCAGTGCCACCAATACATTGGAACAGCTTCAACAACAGCAGCACGCAGTCCGATCCAACATTCCAGCCAGATGCTGATCTGATCTAGTCAATTCACATTTCGAGTCGGCATTTTTTGCACTTTTCTTGGCTTTTCCCGTCGCCTTTTTACTTTTCCTGAAGTGATGCACTTTTTGCGACCCCGAACGTGACAACAACAAAAACTAATCCCCGAATCGCGGTTCCGCTTCGCTAGTGTCGAGCGATGGTGGTTGGGGTTTCGCTTGGTTGGGCTTGCTAAGGGCTTCAAACGAGGGCTGTACTGAAGTCATACAGTCATTCCTTGGACATAAGCCCATGTGGGCTTCAAGAAAAAAAACATGAAGAAAACAAATGGGCCTATAGTTGACTAATTTCTTTAGGCACAGGGCCTACGGTATTTTAGCCAACTGGCTTCAAGCACAGAGACATGTGTACTACTTGCTGACCAGAATGTGACCTTTTTACACACCACCATCGCATTCTACAGTTGAGGCAGAAGCACCACATAGAAGCTACATAGCAGACTCTAGTACCACTACTAACAGTCTGAAGATGTTCCATTTCGGAAGCCTTAAAGGGACATGACATGAGACGAGGCCATCACACAAGCTGGCCAACAGGAGCTTCTGTCATCCATAGGTCCTGAATGAAATTGTATAGCCTGTCCGTGACACTTATCTGCCACACAATATTCGAGAGCACACCTCGCATGTGTGGGCACACAGTGGCAGGCACACAATGCATCCATTGATGTGAGAATATTGCAATGCAGAGACAGACGCATCCAGAAGCATGATGGAAGAGCATGCAACGGTGCATGAAACCACCTAGTCCCGCCATTTACAAAACGCCACAAGCATATGCCCATACGTCCACTCACCAAGGGGCTATACATGCCAAGCACGTGGGTGCAAGAGTTGAGAGAGCAGGGGGCCGGGAGAGAGCAGGGGGCCGGGAGAGAGCAGGGGGCCGGGAGAGAGGCATGACCTTGTAGGGCGTGGGGTTGAGTCCGCGTATATGGTCGGGGCGCAGCCCTGTGATCTGCTGCCGGCACCGCTCCCTCACCTCCACCAGCGCTGGCAGCCGCTCCACCCCCTCACTCTCCTCCTCCACCTGCCCATCCGGTAATGCTGGCAGGGCAGGTAGCGCGAGGCAGAAATGGAGGTGGGAGAGTGGGAAGAGAGAGGGATAGAGATAGAATGGGGGACAAGGCAGGAGCAGAAGATGGAGCAGGTTAGAAGCTCACTTCCCTGGTTACAGTCCCCATAACAGCCCAGGCCTGCACTCACAGAATTGCTTTCCCCTCCAGAAGCAGCGGTAGAGTGGCTCGACTCGGTGCGGCACCACGTAGGCGCGCTTGGACTGGCTGAAGGGGTGCCGGCACAGGATGCGCTCGCCCACCTGCTCTCCCCCGCGACCACACCACGGGAATGGCATGGCATAGCGGCCAGGGGAGGAGACAATGATGAGCAGGCTGCCGACAAGCCTTGACACACACTATCATGGCAAGCTTGCAAATGAGCAGTCGCAGCCATGAGCATGGAGCCACAGTGATTATGGCACGTGCATGCTGTGCAGAGATCTCGTGACATCATGAGCAGAGGGACACGGTGGTACAGCAGTGGTGTGCATGTGTGGTGACGTGACCTGGGGGCGCGGGTCCGATGGCATCATGAGCAGGTCCACTAGAGGGTAGCCCTCCCTGCCGTACAGCCGATAGCATGCCTTCTTGCCCGGGATCGTCACCTGCATGTGGGCAATGGCAGGCAGCATCAGGAACAAGCACAGCGACACAGACACAGTCAGATCGCCATCACAAGGAGCACAACACGTGTGCTTCCTGGAGGATCAGGAACAGTGCACCTACTGCACTCTCGGCATGAGTTGCACACTCTCATGTACCCAAGCATTCACCCTAACCCCACCCTCTCACTCACACCCTACTCCCTCACTCGCAACCACACAGACCCAACTCCTCCCTATCACGCACACTCGACCCAATGTGCGTACCCTCCTCACGAGTCACCTTGTCAAAGTCCTGGCTGAGCTTGATGCGCGGCTGGCCGTTGATCTCCACCAGCTTGTACACACACCCCAGCGCCGGCTGCTTCACACACGTCACCAGGTGCGTGCCGATGCCAAACGCGTCTATCTCATGGCCCTGCACGCACATGCTCATGCGCACGCCCACGCCCACGCACGGCAAAAAATAATAAGAACGTGAGTGGTGGCATAAAATAACGTGAGTGGTGGCATAAAAGAACGTGAGTGGTGGCATAAAAGAACATTATAGCGAAGCATGTAGGGCATGGGCGCAGAGGTGGCAAGAAGCAGGGGGTGGTGGTGGAGCAGAGAGCAGAGGGCAGGGAGCGACCTGCTTGTTGAGGGCCTCCAGGGTGGCCTCGTTGATGTCGCTGCTGGCTGTGATCACGGCAGCACTCAGCCCGTCCGCATGGAAGAGCGCCTCACACTGGCGCAGGAAGAGGCGCGCCTGCTGTGACAGGTACGCCAGGTCGCCCGAATCCAGGCGAATGCCCACCGCCCGGTACCTGCCCCACGCTCATGCAGCGCGGGAGTGGGCAGAATGGGAGTGGGCAGCGCGGGAGTGGGCAGCGCGGGAGTGGGCAGGGCGGGGAAGAGGCATGGTGAGAATTGAAGTGGAGACGTGCATGCAGACAGCGTGTGACTGGTGGAGCTGGTCAGTGCTGCGAATTGAAGCTGGTAAGTTGCACACTTGTTGCGAGGGTTGCAGCAGTGGCCCTACACCTGTTCCCCACCTGCTCCACGTGGGGTGCTACAGCCATGTGCACACACCATGTGGCAATGACCAGTCAGTGACAGAGAGATGGGAGAACCACTGCAAGCATCAATCAACACGCACTACCAGCCAGCAGTTACCCTTGGGTGATGCCCATGCCATGCAGCCCACGCCTGTCAGCACGCCAGCGCACCAGTCCTACCATCACCATCCCCCGCTCAGCAACATCACGCGTGGCACAAGCAAGCTCTGAATGTGCCCTTTCCATCACACGCTCTTAAAATACAACCCCGTAAAGGTATGACAGTCACACGCATGGCCCAGAAACCGCTACGCATGGTGCTGCGCTAAACCCCGCTGGTACAATTGGAAGGGCTAGTGCACGAAAAACGACTAGGTATGCGACGAGCGAGGGGCAGAGCAGCAAGGCGCCCACCCCAGCTGGTGCAGTGCGAGGGCGACAGCACAGTAGTTGGGCACTCCACTGCGCAGCACCTGGGCGAGGGGGGAGGGCGCAATGAGGACGGCAGCAACATGACCAGATGAGTGTTGGCACAAATCACGAAAAAGGAAGTGCGGTTCTCATTTACCCATAAGCTATGATAGCATATAGCAAACTGATGGCGAGAAAAGAGTGCAGGGAAATGAGGGTGAACTGCCACACCGGGTGGGCAGGCCAGGCGTCACCACACACATGCCAACCTGCATTACCCAGCCAAGCAGCCGGCCGTTTTATACGAGCCCTCACACAGCAGCCCCTAGCATGGCAGTGCGCACAATGGCAGTGGCGCAACCCAAACGATGGATCCATGACAGCCTGGCTCGGTCAACCCAACGCATCTGAACACGCCACACTCCAGCATGCCGGCCGCACACTCACCCACTCAACCTCAACTGCCATGTGGCGGGCCGAGCCGCACCGCACATGTGCGTTGTGGATCCGGGTTGATGGCACAGGGCATGGCACATGGCGCAGCAGGGCAGGCGGTGCAGGCACTCACGTCGTAGGTGTCAACAAGCGCCTGGAAGTGCGTGGGGAAGGCCAGCGCGTACGAGGTAAACGCCGCCAGCTCGCTCTGATTGGTCTCTGCAAACAGGTCCCTCAGCTTCTCACTCTCCTGCACGACAGCACCATGGCAGCATGGCAGCATGGCAGCATGGCAGCAATGGGTCCATTAGCTAAATAATATCTAGACGAAGTGCTTAGTTAAAACAATCAGGCAAATACAAGCTTGCTGCGGTCAAACCCTTTCAACTCTGAGCTACAGCGAAGAGCAGGTGCACACATGGCAGCAGACCAAAAGCAAAGGTAACAGTCTGTGACAGCAGCGAGAAGTGGCAAGGGGGCAGCACACGAAGTAGCAAAGAGGGCGACGATGAGGGCAGCAAGAGAGGCAGCGAGGGTGCGACCTGACCTGCATGCGGTGCAGGAAGGAGAGCACGAGCGCCACGAAGTCACGGCACACGTGCGAGCCATCTGCTGCTGGCAGCGCTCGCTCCTTGATCTCATCCAACGCCTGCACAACCATGCGCGCTCATGGGCGAGGGCCGTGCCATAGACACAGAGAGGAGGGCATGGCGGAATGGGCAGCTGGCGAGAGAGCTCGATGCGTTTGTGCGAGAATGAATGGGCAGAGCAGAGCATGGCAGGAGAGCAGTGAGAGCAGCAAGTGAAAAACCATGTGAGCAGAGGCGGGTGGAAAGTCATACAATGGCAAGGCGAGGCGAGGGAGTGGGCATACGAGGAAGGAGGAGACGAAGGCATGCGAGTGAGTGCCCTTGACAGGGATGTTGAAGATGCGCCCCGCCTCCACATTGCTGCTCCCAGTGCCAATGCAGGCGCCACACACATAGGCGTGGCAGAGAGGGAACGGCGGGTAGAAAAGGAGAAGGTGACACGAGGCAATGAAATTAAAGGGAACGTGGACAACAAGGAGGCATGGAGCAACGGTAAATGGTTGAATATGTGAACAAACGGCAGCGGAAAGTAGCGATGGAATAACGACGAGCAGGGCAGCAGGTGGACAAGATGGAGCCATGTAATGTGTGCGCGAATTCAAGGCACCGAAAGGCACGGTGTCGGGTGCACATGGTGGCAGTGTGGTGGGCCTACCTGGTGGCATCAAAGCCACCCATGAAGCAATAGCGCGATGCCGACACTGCACCATCAGGACCCTGCTAGGCACACACGAGGTCGCAACCATTTCACAACCGAAAGGGGGTTCCGTTTAGGACCAACATGCAGTGGCCTGCCTCAGTCTTGTTATTGCCGTGTGCTGCTTGGCATGTGCGGAACATAAAAGTGACGGCATAACAACGCAGTTGGGCATGAGCAGCGAGAATAAGATAAAAGGCAAGGTGGAGGAGGGAGAACAGAAGCGGCTTAGAGGCGTGGTTGAGGAGGTGTAATGGTGGGTTGCGGGCAGATGGCAAGCAGCAGCCCAAGTGCAAGGGGAGTGGGGGAGCGGGCGAGCATGGAGATAGCGACCTGGGCGCGTCGGAGTCCAAACTCAAAGAGCATCTTGTTGGGCCCCGCCACTTGCCGGTGGCGAGCAGCATTGGTGGCGACGAGCGAGGCGTAGTTCACGAGCACCAGCAGCGTCGTCTCCAGCAGCTGCGCCACCTGCCACGCATAGTGGTGACAAGCAGAGGCACGTGCACGCAGTCATGGTGTGGCGGCGCATGGCCGGCAGCAAGGAACGCTAGTAGTGGAGCGGAGAGAAAGGAGCAGCGATGCGCATGCTGCTGCCGCTGCAGGTGCAATAGGAGAGAAAGGAGCTGGGGGAGGGAGCGGGCAGGAACGTACGAGGAGAGGGCCTTCAACACGCATGAGCGGCACGCGGGGGAAGGCGACGTATCCCTCTGGCAGGGCCATGATGCGGATGGTGGAACAGTCGAGCGTCAGTAGATAGTCAAAGAACACATCCTGCCATGCGCCCACCACACCGCACCACACACGCACGCACCCACACCTTACCCCCATCCCCCCCCCCCCCCCCTCACACACAGACGCACACAGACACACCCACACGCACACGCACACACAGTAAAAAGGTTTTGAAAAGCGCGACGCACAACAACAAGGAAAGCATGGTTCTGACGGGCTTGGGGTAGGGAGTGGGCGAGAGAGAAAGGTTGAGACACAGGGAGAGGAGATAGGGAAAGGGAGACACAGAGAGGAAGGTTCTCTATGATGTCATAACTCCAGTTGAAAAAGTACAACAGCAGAGACATTCACGCACTGCTTCTTGAGAGCGAGTGCGGCAACCCTTGATGGCGAGTGAGCGGGAGAGAGTGGCGGAGGTGGTGCGGACGCGAGGAAGGCCCATCGCACGGTGCCTGCCCACCTCTTCACCTAGCCACACGTGGGTACGAGGAGAGGCAGGGTGGGCGGCGCACCTCACAGGAGGGCGGCATGATGGTGCGCAGGTAGGCGACGTCGGCCTGTGAGAATCGGAAGTTGGCGACGAATCGCACGCACTCCTCGAGCCCCGCGAACAGCGTGTACTCGCCGCCGAACGGGTTCTTGCGGAACAGCAGGTCGAACCTGCACGGGGCGCGCCGGAGCGGTGCACGCGCATGGACACGGTCGGGGCGGGAGGATGACGAGAGGACAAGCGGTGGGTGCGGGATCTCGGTAACGCGGAGCGCACAAGTGTCGCGCGCAACAGAGCACGGCGAGGTCAGGCGCGAGGGGGTTTGGCGGGATGAGGATGGGACGCAGGCGAGGGTTCGCGAAGGAGGGAGGAGCGCGGGAGCGCGCGTACACGGCGTGGTCGTTGTGCTTCTTCGCCTTCCAATACGCGTACGCCATGGTCAGCTGGTACATATCCGTCAGCAGTGACGTCACCATCGGGTCGGTCGGCGGCAGCACGCGCCGCTCCTCCGTGTCAGTGGGGTCGGAGTGATCGAAAGCTCCCGACAGCCGCGCGCCCGTCAGCCCGTCCGCTACGTGCTCTACCGCCGGTAGCTCGCTCGAAGGACTATGCTTCTTTCCCCGCCCTTCCACGTTGCCGTTGCTGTTCGATAAAATACCGTCCATCGCAATTGGTTAGAGATAAGGGAGGCGCAATGAAAGCTCCCAGGGACGGATTCCCTGAATGGCTGGTTCTACAAGGCGACGGCGAGCGAGCTTGGTTAGCAGCCGAAGAGAGAACCAGGTTAGCAAGGAAACGCGTTGGCAGCATTGTTCTGTCTCACATGCAGAGCAGAAGGGCATGCAGATGCAGCAGCGGCACGCAGAAACCGCCGGGGTGGAAGGTTTATGAGGGGTGGGGTGAGTGGTACACTGGCACGCCTCTGCTTTCGCGAGCAAATCAAAGCGGCCAAATAACAGCGAGGATGAAACCGAGGCGAGGGAACCCGGGAACGCGATTGATTGGACACAAAAACTTCAGCTCTCGTGGCGGCAAAACTGGAAAAACTGTGAAATCCAACAAAAAATGTTATTCTTTTGAAGCTACACCTAAAACCCTCCCATTTCAACAAATCAATTATTCATTTTGTTAGAGTAACTAAAGGATCGATTGGACAAAGTAAAGCGCCAGGAGTTTAAAGTTCGTGGCACAAATTGTTTTTGCTAAAAAAAAAGGTTGCAACGTGAGGTTTTTCCGCCAGATTCGTAATTTCTTCATCATCATCATCATTCATTTTCTTTTAGGGCGTGTTCCTACGCTCTTATCAGGCAAACCTCTTGTCAGCCTTGCCTGGTAAAAGTAGCAAGGGCTTCTTGTTTTAGGGAATTTTCAGTGTGTGTTGATGCGAGCTTGATAAGGGAGTGGTTGATAAGGGGCCGTAGGAACACGCCTTTATTTTCTTTCCCATATTTAACCAAACTTGGCCAATCCTATTTTTCCCCCCTATTGGATGCTCGATAGTCCCAAATAGCATGTCCCTTTTTTTTCCATTTTCAGCAATTCCGACTTCACCCGGGCCAAACCCCCTCAACACGAGTCATTGTCGTAACATATAGTCACTCTGTGCAGCAACATGTAGGAGCACTTAAAGAGTTGTCATTTTCGAAATAAGGGAGAAATTTGAAAGAAGTCAACTCCCTCTTGCTAACTAAAGCATCCCACCACATAATGCGCCTTGAATACAGGCGGTGATTCAGGAAGCTGCTTGATCTTCAAAATCCACATGCCATTAACTACATTCGCCCGAGGGAAAACTGCGTCAACGTAAGTGCATTTGGACCTTCAAAACGCCTTCTCCAAGTCAATGGAAGCTATCCACTAGGAAGCCCATGGTCCCGAAACCTCCTCAAAAGGATGAATATTGATTTGATAATAAATTGACGACGTGAGAGAGTGAGCGAGCGACGGTCTAGCAGCAACTATAGGCCGATGATACAAAATAGGAAGAAGTTACGAGATAGGAATGACTCCCATCCTCTTCAAACCCAACTAAGAATCGAGGGAGGTGGATCGGTGGCACACTGTCCCCAACCTTGCAGGGTCCCTAAAATACTCACGACAACGACCTCACTAAGATAAATGTTATACTTCACAATGCAATGTAAATAATCTCACTATCATATCGTTTCTTTGAGGATCGAGGATTGAGTTCAGAGAAGTATAAATGAAATGAATGATTCACCTGGGTACAACATGAGGTTATATATGTCAAACTATATGTGCTGCATATTGTCTAGGCTGTAGTGGGGTAGCCCATATGGGGTACAACCCAATTAGGGTTTACTACTTGTACTCCTGCATCCTGCTAGTTCACTCATTCCTGCTGCTAGATTCTAACATGGTTTCAGAGCACTAAGGTCCGTAGGACCGTTTTTTTCGGGCCCACCTACCGCTGCGGTTACCGCGCTACCCCACGTACCTGCCTGCCTTGCCTTGCCTTGTGACGTGCTGCACTATGCGCGCCGTCCAGCAGCCCTAGCGCTGCCTCCTGCTGCCCTAGGCCAGCGCGCTGCCCCTAGAGGCCCGTAAGGCCCGCGCGCCGCCCCTAGAGGCCCGTAAGGCCCGCGCGCCGCCCCTACACGCCCGTCAGGCCCGCAAACAGCCCCTGCAGACCGTTAAGCACGCTGCTGCCGCGCGCAGCCCGCACCGAGCCCACGCAGCCCGCGCCGAGCCGCGCGCAGCCCGCTGCAGCCGCGCGCAGCCTGCACCGAGCCGCGCACAGCCCGCTGCAGCCGCGCGCAGCCCGCACCGAGCCGCGCGCAGCCCGCAGTTGCCGCACGCAGCCCGCGCCAAACCCACGCAGCCCGTGTCGAGCCGCGCGCGGCCTGCTACGGCCTCGCGAGGCCCGCGCGCGGCCCGCAGCAGCCCGCGCCGAGCCGCGCGCGGCCTGCTACTGCCTCGCGCGGCCCGCAACAGCCCGCGCCGAGCCGCGCGCGGCCTGCAGCAGCTCAGCGCGCTGTCAGCGCAGCCCGCGCCGAGCCGCGCGCGGCCCTCTGCCTCGGCCCCGACCTGCCGCTGATGCGGCCCTGCCCTGCAGCTGCCACGGCCCCGACCTGCCGCTGATGCGGCCCCGCCCTGCAGCTGCCACGGCCCCGACCTGCTGCTGACGCGGCCCCACCCTGCTACTGCCGCTGAAGCGGCCCCGCCCTGCAGCTGCTTCGGCCCTGCTCTGCAGCCGGTGTTGCGGCCCCGACGTCGCCGCTGTCGTGCGCCTACTCGGCCGCCGCCCGTCGAGCGCCGGCCCTGCTCGCCCGGTGAGCGCCTGCTCTCCCAGCCTTTGGTGAGCGCCTGCCTGCCTGCCTGACGGCCTGCCTGTCTGCCTGCCTGCCTGCCTGCCTGGCTGCCTGCCTGCCTGCCGGCCTGCCTGCCTGCCTGCCTGCGCGCCTGCCTGCCTGCCTGCCGGCCTGCCTGCCTGCCTGCCGGCCTGTCTGTCTGTCTGCCTGCCTGTCAGCCTGCCTGCCTGCCTGCCGGCCTGCCTGCCTGCGCGACTGCCTGCCTGCCTGCCTGCCTGCTTGCCTGCCTGCCTGCCGCGCCTGCCCTGCCCGCGCTACTGCTGCTGCTACTGCTACTGGCAGGTGGCCAGATGCAGCTCCAGCGACGTTCACGCGAGCCTCTCACGCCCCAGCAGCTTAGTGAGTGGTATACTAGCTGGGGTTGTCGCGGTAGCCGTCGTAGCTGTCGCCCTGGAGCTGGTCAGTTGGGAGCGTCTGGCAGTGGCCAGCTGCAGCTGCAGGGGCGTCCACGCGAGACACTTACGCCCCGGCAGCTCCAGGAGTGGTACGCTCAGTGTAGCAGGTCTACGCGTACAGTTCGCTGCCCGTACGTCATTCGCACAGGTGCTAGGACTGGTCAGCCTTGTGGGACGCTTGGTCATGCACAGTCCCGCTGCTTCGCCTGTCTGAGCGACGACTGGCGCATAGTGTTTGGCGACGAGGCTGAGCTCCCCACCTGGCTGGAGCTACATGGACAGAGGGTAGATATCTTTGCGCTTGACTATGATGCTATTCTCACTGCCATGTATGCATTGCCTACTAGTGCTGACCGTGCCTGTTACCTGTGCGTACCGCCTGACCCTGGTGAGGCTGCTGCTCTAGGTGCTAGTGCGTCTCCTGCTCTAGGTGCTGGTGAGGCTGCTGCTCTCGGTGCTAGTACGTCTACTGCTCTAGGTACTGGTGAGGCCGTGGCTTCAGGTGCTGGTGAGTCGCTCGTACCTCCATGATCCATGCGGCTGCCCCCCATTTTCTGTGGCTGTTTGCGGTCCGGTACGCCGCGCATCAGCTCAACCTCTGGCCCCGTGTCTCCTTGCTGGAGACCTCGCCCACACTGCTGTGGACGGGGAAGGTTGGCGATGCGTCGCGTTTTCGGGTCTGGGGTGCTCGTGCCTTTGTCCGCGATACCACCGCGGACAAGCTCTCCGCCCGCGCTGTTCCCTGTGTCTTCCTTGGCTTTGTCCCTGACGTGCCTGGTTGGCAGTTTTACCACCCCACCTCGCGCCGTGTCTTTGCGTCTCAGGACGTCACGTTCGACGAGTCGGTTCCCTTTTACCGTCTCTTCCCCTACCGCACTGCCCCGCTCCCCCCCCCGCCGCTCTTCCTCGCTCCAGGTGCTCCCCAGGTAGACCCCCTCCCCGCTCCCGGTCCTGCTCCTTCAGGTGTTTCTCAGGTAGACCCTCCTCCCTTGACTACGCCGGTTGAGGTCACTAATGACTCAGGTCCTACTGAGGGTGGTCCTGCTCGGGGTGCTACTTCTGGGGGTGCTGAGCCTGGGGGTGCGGAGCCTGGGGGTGCTGAGCCTGGGGGTACTGAGCCTGAGGGTGCGGAGCTTGAGGGTGTGGAGCCTGGTGGTGCTGAGCCTGAGTGTGAGGGGTCTGGGGGTGCTGAGCTTGGCGGTACTGACGCTGGAGGTTCTGGAGCTACTGAGGGTGCTGGCGCTGGAGGTTCGGGAGCTGCTGGAGGGCCTAGTACTGGTGGCGCTGGAGCTAGAGGTTCTGGAGCTGCTGAGGGTACTCGCGCTGGAGGTTCTGGAGCCGCTGGAGGTACTGGTGCTGAGGGTACTGACACCGGAGGTTCTGGAGCCGTTGGGGGTGCGGGCGCTGAGGGTTCTGAGTCTGCTGTTGCACGGTCTCCTTGGAGTAGCCGCCTTCGTCCACGTGTGCCTCTCACCCCACAGCAGCTGCAGGACTGGTACGGTCGCCGTCAGCGTCGCGCTGCTGGAGCTAGGAGTGGTGCTGGTCCTTTGTCTACTGGAGGTGCTGGAGTCGCTAGTTCTGGAGGTGCTCGTGCTGGAGACACTGAGGCTGGAGACCCTGGGACTGGAGGTGCTGGCTCTGGGGGTGCTGCTGCTGGAGACACTGAGGCTGGAGACCCTGGGACTGGAGGTGCTGGTTCTGGGGGTGCTGCTGCTGGAGACACAGAGGTTGGAGACCCTGGGACTTGAGGTATCGGCTCTGGGACTGGAGCTTCTGGAGCTGCTGGAGGTACTGGAGCTGCTGGAGGTACTGGAGCTGCTGGAGGCACTGGAGCTGCTGGAGCTGCCGGTACTGGTGCAGCTGCGCCGACACGACTGTTCTTCGCTCCGCCGTCTCCGTCGTCTCTGCCGTCGCCTGACTCTGTTCTTCGTCAGGTTCTTACTCTCCCGTCGTCTACTGGTCTTCCGTTACAGCCTGGCTCACCGCTGCCTGCTCCTTCTCCTTACACTGAGCAGACTGGTAGTCCTGCTGAGCGTCGTGAGCCTGCGTCGCGTCCTGTTTCGCCTGTTCGTCCTGGTCGTACCGGTCGTCGTGTTCCTCGTTCGCGTCAGCCGGCTGTCCCCAGCGCACACCTCGTCGTCCGTCGTCCTTCCTCTGCTCCGCAGCCTGTTCCTCTGCCGTCTCCTCCTGCATCCTCTTTGCCTGACGTTCCGGACCCTACGTCTGACCGGTTTCGTGCTGAGCACCCTACTGTCACGCGTCTACTAGCCACTGTTGTCACTGACCCGTCGTTTGAGTCTACTGCTGCGTCTACTCTTGTCGCTGAGCTTGTTGACTTTGCTGCTGCCTGTCGTCTAGACTTCGCTGCCAGTCTTGTTGCTGAGTCTGAGTCTGTCTGTCCTCCATCCGTCGGGGGTGAGTGTGCTCTTAGCACGGACGTCCTTGAGGACAGGCACGAGGACCTTGAGTGTCTTGCAGCTGCTGCGCCTCATCTCGTTGCCATGCTGCTTGCCCCTGAGGGAGACCCGGATGCACCAGACATCCCGACCCCGCGCTCTTACGCTGAGGCGATCGCGGGTGAGTACTCCTCTTAGTGGCAGACAGCCATGGACGCAGAGATGGCATCCTGGAAGTCCACTGGCACCTACGTCGACGAGGTTCCCCCTCCTGGGGTGAACATCGTCAGTGGCATGTGGATTTTCAGGGTGAAGCGGCCGCCAGGTTCTCCGCCTGTCTTCAAGGCTCGTTACATTGCTCGAGGCTTCAGTCAGCGAGAGGGAGTTGACTTCTTCCAGACCTTCTCTCCCACCCCGAAGATGACCACTCTTCGGGTGCTGCTGCACGTTGCTGCTCACCGTGACTACGAGCTTCACTCTCTTGACTTCAGCACAGCTTTCTTGCAGGGCAGCCTGCACGAGGAGATCTGGCTGCGCCAGTGGAGCTTGCGGCGGGCTTCACTGGGTCGTTCCCTCCTGGTACCCAGTGGAGCCTCCGGCGGCCGGTCTACGGTCTCCGCCAGGCGCCACGTGAGTGGCACGACACACTGAGGACTACGCTTGCGGCTCTTGGGTTCGCGCCTTCTACTGCTGACCCGTCGCTGTTTCTGCGCACCGACACTTCACTGCCGCCGTTCTACATCCTCGTGTACGTCGACGACTTGGTTTTTGCCACTGCTGACACTGAGGCTCTCGCCCACGTGAAGTCGGAGCTGCAGAAGAGACACACGTGCACAGACTTGGGTGAGCTGCGCAGCTACCTTGGCTTGCAGATCACCCGGGACAGAGCACGCCGCACCATCACCTTGACTCAGTCACACATGGTGCAGCAGGTCCTTCAGCGCTTCGGCTTCACCTGGTCTTCAGCACAGGCCACTCCTCTGGCTACAGGTCACACGCTCTCAGCTCCACCTTCGGACGAGTCCGTAGAGCCGAGTGGTCCTTACCCAGAGCTAGTCGGCTGCCTCATGTACCTGATGACTTGCACTCGACCTGACCTCGCGTACCCTCTTGGTCTTCTGGCTCGCTACGTGGCTCCTGGTCGGCACCGACCTGAGCACATGGCTATGGGGGTGTGTCAAACTATATGTGCTGCATATTGTCTAGGCTGTAGTGGGGTAGCCCATATGGGATACAACCCAATTAGGGTTTACTACTTGTACTCCTGCATCCTGCTAGTTCACTCATTCCTGCTGCTAGATTCTAACAATATATAGTCTCAACACATGGCCAGAAAACCCAGGTAATACGTGGAGGTTCCGAAGATCGCGAAGCGTCCCGAATTCGGTAGAAGGTAATTCGGTGGTAACCGAAAGCATAGAACTTGATGTATGTAACCTAGTTCGGTGCTATACCTATAATAAGATATAGAAAAGCACCTAACATAGGAAATCAAGTATTAGCATGCAAGAAAATATAAACCTAAGCTAGAAATAGCAGCATAAAGTCATGGCATGCAAACATAGCTAGCATAGCCGTCGTACTCTCACGCGTTCCCCCCTCAACGCTGGGTGCCGTGAGAAACACCCTGGTTGACAAGATAATCTTTGAGAGCACGGCGTGCGTTGCCCATATCAGCTTCTGCAACCCAACTGTCCTCAGAGGGGTCGTATCCCTTCTAATGTATCAAGAACTTGAGGGTCTTGCCGATGCGGCGCCGATGAGTGAGAATGCGTTCCACCTCGTGTCAGAATGTTATTATCTAGCCTGTAGTGGGGTGCTCTATAGCGGGTACAACCCAGTTAGGGTTTGCTATATGTATCCCAACTGCTGCTAGTGAAACCCCCTCTTTTCTATTTCTAAACTTGTACTGCTACTTTCTGACATGGTTTCAGAGCAGGTCGACCCCCTTGGGTCGATCCTGTGGGTGGGCCCACCACCTAACTGCTTCCGCTGCTGCTACTCTGTCTCTTGCACGCCCCGTGGCGTGCGACGCCTTCTTCCTGCCGCCGTGCGCTCGGGGCGGTTTCCTACCGTGGGGGACCCGCGTACAGCCCCCTGCCCTTCCCGTCGCGTCGCCCTGCAGGCCGTGCGCGGGCCTGCAGGCCGCGCGCGGCCCGTCTGCCCGTCGCGCGGCCTTGGAGACCCGCGCGCGGCCCCCGCCCTGCTCGTCGCGGCGCCCTGGGGAGCACGCGCGGCCCCCGCCCTTCTTGTCGCGGCGCCCTGGGGAGCCGCGCGCGGCCCCCCGCTGCCCCGTCCGTTTAGGCGGCCTGAGGAGAGACGCGCGGCCCCTCCTGTACTGCCCCCCCCCTCCCCCACCGTGCTGCCCATTCCTCCCGTGCCGCCGTGCGTTCCGCGATGGTGGGGGGTGTGGGGTGGCGAGCATGGGGGTGCATGGTGTGGGTACTCCCCTTCCCTCTCCCCACCTCCTTGTTCGTCTCCCACTGCTGCAGCTGCTACTGAGGGGGGTGGAGGTGTGGGAGCCGAGGGGAATGGCGCTAGGGGGGTGACGTGGGAGTGGAGTTAGGGGTTCAGCAGGGGGTGTGTGTCAAGGGTGTGGGTCAGTTGGAGGAGGTTGTGTGGAGGTAGCTGTCGTGTCGCCTGCAGCGCCTGTAGTCCGTCGCCCTTGCTTCGGTAGCCAGTGAGCCTGTTGCACCAGTCGCCAGTGGGTCCGTTGCTCCTGCTACTCGTCTTAGCCGCGGAGCCAGTCACTCCAGTAGTCCGTCGCCCTTGCTTCGGTACCCTCCGAGTCAGCCGCTCCTGTGCCCGTGCCTCTGCAGCTTCAGTCGTTGCCTCCCATCTTCTCTCCTTCCACAGTTCCTCCTCCTCACTTGCCCGCTGTGATTACCTCTAGCTTTGCTTATTATTGTGAACTCCTGCTATGCCTGCTCATTGTGCTGATTACACCCCACTTTGGCTATGGAGGTGTGTCAGAATATTATTATCTAGCCTGTAGTGGGGTGCTCTATAGCGGGCACGACCCAGTTAGGGTTTGCTATATGTATCCCAACTGCTGCTAGTGAAACCCCTCTTTTCTGTTTCTAAACTTTGTACTGCTACTTCTGACACCTCGTACTCTGGTTCATCATGTATGAGAACAGGTAGTGGTGGTGGTGGTGGTGGTGGTGGTGGTGGTGGTGGTGGTGGTGGTGGTGGTGGTGGTGGTGGTGGTGGTGGTGGTGGTGGTGGTGGTGGTGGTGGTGGTGGTTGTAGCGGCCGTCCCTGGAACTGCTGGTTGGGGTCCTTGTAGGGCTTCAGTAGCTGAACATGGAAAGCATAGTATAGCTTCCACGTAGAAGGTAAGCAGAAGCGGAATGTAACTGGTGTCACCTGTGCCTCAACGAGAAAGGGACCACAGAAGCGAGGCCGGAGTTTGGATGGTAGGTGATGATGGAAAGCATGCAATGGTACGAGATAAGTCCGCCAACTTTGGCGAACCATTGCGTGCAACTCACGTAACCTAAAAATAGGAGCAGGTGCGCGTTGGAAAGGTCTTAATCTCTAATCTCCAGAATGATAAAGCATGCCTTCAACCAAGATCTAGGTCGATTGCTATCGCGGTTTAAGTGCGACGGGGTATCCCGGCGGAATTATTTGGCAGCCACTTTTTAGATCTAGGAACGGCCTAAGCATGACTTCAGATCTGAAGAGTGACGAGTCTGGCAAACCCTACCAATCCAACCTTCGCCCTAAAACAATCCCCAACAACCAAATGTGCCAAACTAGCAACACCAAAGGTGTTGTAGTGAATAGCAAAGGTTTGTTGGTGCTTGGTGGTTGCGAGCTCAAATCCAGCCCGCAACAAGTCTAACCACCACATTTTGCCCAAACCCTTAGCCCACAACCAGCTAGAGCAAAATACCACAACCACCTACACAATCAACACTCCCCCTTGCTCGCGATGGAGGTGGCTGAACACCACTGAGAAAACTCCTCCTTCACTCCACTCCCCCTTGCCCAGGGAGGGGCGCCATCCACAGCATGATGTCGTCAAGGCAGAGAAGCACCAGCCCTCCCACATCCTGCTCAGGCACCATGCCAACATGGGGCTGCATCCCCATCAAGGACATGCACACACAAAGTTGCTCAAAGGAAAGGGGTTTGATTAGAATGTCCGTTGTTTGGCGGTTGGTCGGACACCACCAGAGGATCACCTCACCATCAGCTACCATCTCCCTGATGAAATTCCACCGAACCTGCATGTGCTTTGTGCGGCCATGCAAGCATGCATTCTGTGCAAGGGCAATGGCAGACTGGTTGTCCACAAACACAAGCACATCACCAGCAAACACATGCCCAAAGTCCCCAAACAAACGCTTCCGCCACACACCCTCCTGAATACACTGACACAGACTTACGTACTCACTCTCAAAAGTGGGCAATGCAACCACCGGCTGACTCTTGCTTTTTTAAGAGATGGCTGCACCATTGAGGCAATAAATATAGCCGGTGTGACTCTTGCGATCAGCTGAATCTCCAGCATAATCAGCATCACTAAAGCCCACCAACTCGACCTTAGGCTCAGTGTGCGCGGGGTAGAAGATACGTGACTTCACACAACCTTTCAGGTACTTCAACACTCTCTTAGCAGCCTACAGGTGGAATGCTTTGGGAGAGGACACCACATTGGACAGCTATAACACTGCATAAGCAATCTGGGGCTGTGTGGTCGTGCTTGCATACATGAGAGACCCCACAATGCTTTATTAGAGCTGAACCATCTCATCTCTCAGCAAGGGCTCCTCAGCATGTGCATGCACGTCGAACCCTGTAGGGAGAGGGGTATGCCCGGGGTTAGCCTCACGAAGGCCAGAGGACTCAAGCATGTTAAGAATGTACCTCTCCTAATGAATCAAGATGGCACTCTTATCACGAGAAATCTGCACCCCCAAATAGTACTTAGCCTCCCCCATGCGGAAAAGAGAGGACAAGAGACCCTCCACCTCGTCCAGCAAGGTCATGCTCGAAGAGATGAGTCGAATGTCATCCATATAGAGGCAGAGGGACAACCTGCCCTATCGCCTCACCAAGTGGTACAAGGCGAGGTCAGACTCAGACCTCTCAAAGACAAAATCCATCAGCACCTCATCAAACTTGACGTACCACTACCTTGTAGCTTGCTTCAGCCCAGAGATTGATTTTTTTGAGTCAGCAAACTCTGCCCGACCATCATCAAAATCAGTGGGCTGCCTCATGTAAAGCTCCTCCTTCAAGGAGAGGTACATTCTTGAAGGTAGGCAGTTGTCACATCCATGTGATGGTGAAACCCCAAGGAGGTTGCCATTACAAGGGAGCCTACAATGTAGTAGGCTTTCCCGTCGGGGTTAACACCTGGTCATAGTGAACACCCCGTGTTTGAATGTTTTCATGGCCACCAACCTGGACTTAGGCCTCTCAATGCTGCCAACTGCCTTGTGCTTATACTTCCACACCCACTGACACCTCAAGACCTCCATTCCAGGTGGCACACAAGCTGGATCAACCAGCTTAAATGACTCATTCACCCTATGGGACTCAAGCTCCTCACACATTGACTCGACCCACTCAGGATGGGACAAGGCCTCCTTGATCGACTTAGGCTCATGCACCAGATCCATAAGACAAAAATCAAGCCGAAGCTCATCATGATCATGCATGCAAGCATACTGTGCACTTGGTGTGAACCTTTCAGGTGGCCAGGAGGTGCGTGTGGTCCGGCGCAAAGGTGATGCCTCCCCTGCTCCAAACTTTGCAGTTTCTCCTTCCAAGTCACTCTCTTCATGGGGGACCGTGGTGACTTGGACAGCTGCTGTTGCAGTAATTGCTGCCAACTACCCACAAGAACATGCAGTGTATGCTGCTGAGGTGACTGCTGTGGCTGCTCTTGCTGCTTTGCTGCTGTTGTTGTTGTTGCTGCTGCTGCTGCTGCTGCTGCTGCTGCTGCTGCTGTTGCTGCTGCTGCTGCTGCTGCTGCTGCTGCTGCTGCTGCTGCTGCTGCTGCTGCTGCTGCTGCTGCTGCTGCTGCTGCTGCTGCTGTTGCTGCTGCTGCTGCTGCTGTTGCTGCTGCTGCTGCATCTGCTGCTGCTGCTGCTGCTGCTTTAGGCTGATGTGGGTCATGGGCTGGTTCTTTAGGGTCAGGGGTAGAACCAGCAGTTGGGGAATCCTCATGGTGAGGTATAGCTGCCTTATATTCCTCTTGCTGCTCCTCTACCTCCTCTCCAGGGTCCTCCCATGTCCCCTCAAAAATGGAAGAGGTGTAGGGATCCTGTGGGGAACTCCCAACCGTATTAGTACCATGCTCCTTCCACCCCTTGTAGCTCAACCCCTCGTGGAAAACCACGTCCCAACATTCCACCACCCGCTGATCTGCGACACTCCACAAGACCCATGCCTTGCTCCTCTCTGACACCCCAAGGAAAATGTCGTATTGTGCCTTGGGATTTAGTTTCATCCGTTGCTGGTCGGGCACTACGTACTGCGCCATACACCCACCAACTTGTGCCATCGACACACTAGGCACCTTCGTGGTCCACATGAGGTATGGGCTTTTGCCCCCTAGCCCCTTGCTGCCCATCCGGTTCTTAACCCAGTTGGCATATTGCACTGCTGCCCCCCACCAAGTATGGTCCAACTGCGCTTGAGCAAGCATGGCTCGGGCAAGGTCAATGAGGGTCCGGTTAAGCCGCTCTGACCCATTTTGCTGCGGTGTGTAGGCAATTGAAAGCTGGTGGGTGATGTCCTTATCTTCAAGGAAAGACTCTAGATCCTTCCTCATGTATTCCCCACCTCGATCAGACTGTATTATATTCATCTTGGGCACAGAATCCCTCTCCGCATAGTGTATCCAACGCTTGAACACCTTGGCCACCTCATCCTTGGTTTTCACCAAAGTGACCTAACTGAGGCGGCTGTAGTCATCCAGGAAGGTGATAAAGTACTTGCTGCACTTCTCCCTATCTGGTGTTTGCATGGGGCCACACGAATCCGTGTGCACCAACTCAAGAGGTGCAGAGGCCCTAGATGAGGTTGTAGGGAAGGAGGTCCTTGGCAGCTTCCTGGCCGTGCAATCAGGGAACTTGCTTGGCTGCCCACCACCCTCCTTGATCTCCACACCCTTCAGATCCTCCTTCTTCACACACTCCACAAGATATTGCTTTCTCGCATGCCCCATGCGTAGGTGCAGCAAATCTGCCGTCACCTGCTCCACGTCCCTCCAACGGGTGCTACAAGCGGCTTCATCCCCATGTGCCCTCTCCACGTGAGGCACAAACACTAAAACAAAGTATAAACCCTTGTCTAACTTGGCCTCCATCACCACAGCTCCACCCTTGCGAACCGTGCACCCTCTTATAGTGAAGGTGCATACGTATCCTTGCCTAGCAAGCTGAGAGCATGAGAGAAGGTTGGCTGCCAATCCAAAAACATGAAGCACACCCTTCATGTTCAGCACCCCCCTTCCCTCCTTCCCCTTGATGGTGATAGTGGCAATGCCGATTGCTTGCAGCATATCTCCGCTCCCAACGGTGACGTTTCTTGAGTTAGGTGGGAGGGAGTGATAGGCACGCCTTAACCAAGATTTAGGCTGATCACTATCGCTATTTAAACGTGACTGGGCATCTTGGCGGAATTACTTGGAAGCCATGGATTAGATCTAGGAATGGCTTAAGCAAGAGTTCAGACCTGAAAGTGACGAGTTTGGCAAACCCTACCAACCCAACATTCGCCCTAAAACAATCTCCAACCACAACCAAATGTGCCGAACTAGCAACACCAAAGGTGTTGTAGTGAATAGCAAAGGTTTGTTGGTGCTTGTTTGTGCGAGTTCAAATCCAGCCCGCAACAAGTCTAACCACCACATTTTGCTTCAACCCCTAGTTCACAACCAGATAGAGCAAAATACCACATCCACCTACACAATTAATAGGTGAGATATGGTCAAGTTGCGCTTATTGAGGAGCACCTGATCTCCGACTATTACTGAATGATCTCATCGCAGTTGATCGGCATACTGCTTCTGAGAGTTTAAAATGGTGGTGAGATGTCACTAAGGCTTAATCCTTAGCTACTACATAGGGGTGACTAAGTCATGAGCCACTTGGACATGTGCCGGTGTGATTGATAGTTGTGGGGTAAGTGGTTCTCATTTGTAACACAAGAAGAAAGGAGTTTTTTCTGTGGCCAAGAAGCGTTGTTGTAAGCGAACTCACGTGTCCGTAACTGTAGATCCCGGTGGCTAATATTGTCTTTGCAAGTTGTGCACAGTAACTATTCAACCACCTGATTGAGTCGCTCTGTTTGTTCGTCATTTTGGGGGTGGTATGCTGAAGACATCGCAAGCTTTGTCCCCAACAACCCCATGTTCCTTCCAGAACTTACTCTTGATGTTTGGGTCTCTATGTAAGATGAGTGTAGTGGGGATGCCGTGGATGGTGATGATGCAGTCGAAGAAGAGGCGAGCAGTTGCTTCAGCTGTAGCTGTGGTGTTTGTTGAGATGAAGTGACCCATCTTGGAGAACTTGTCGATTACCACCAGTATAGCGTCACGCCCTCGAGGGCCGAAGGAAGTCCTGTCAACGGGAGTGATGTTTGGCCCCGTCCTCGCTTGGGCGGAGCCGACCTCGTGGTCGGTTGTGCGGGGGGATGCAGCCGACCTGCAGCAGTGGGCACGGAGGCCACTGCAAGGGCGTGGAGCTGGGAGGGCGTCCGGTTGGAGGGCGCCGAGCAGGTGGACGCTGACCGGGGCGTCTGCTCGGCGTCCTGGGAGGCTGGACGCCGTCCGGGGCGTTTGCTCAGCGTCCCGGGCGCCTGGACGCCGTTCTAGGCGCCTGGACACCGACTTGGGCGTCTGCTCTGCGTCCTGGGAGGCTGGACGCCGACCTGGGCGCTTGCTCGGCGTCCCGGGCGTCTGGACGCCGGCTTGGGCGCCTGGACGGTGTCCTGAGTGAGTGGACGCCGTCCGGGCCGCCAGGACGCCGACCTGGGGACGCCGGGCTTGGCGTAGCCGGCGTCCGACTGGGCTGGACGACCAGGCGGGGTTGCCCGGTCGACCGGGATACTCGGGCAACGTGTGCGAAGGTCGCCGCGGGAGATTGCTGCGAGGACGACCTCGGGGGTGGTATCCCGAGGTCGACGTGGCTGATGGGCGCCGTCACGGGCGGGAATGTCTGCGCTGGGCACGTGACGGGGAGTTGGACGCCAACCAGCCGCGCACACCTGCGAAGCAGGTGCACCGTTGTCCTGCGGGTGCAACGCTGTGCATTCGACTTGCTGCAGCGTTGGCACACCGTGGACATGCAACGTTGGCGCGCCGCATCTCTGCAGCGCTGGAGCGGTGCGAGCATTGCTGCGCTGGAACGCGGTCGACCGTGCTGCGCTGGAGGTCGACCAGCAGCCTAGCTAGCTCTGATGTAGTCTGTGTTGCCAACGTTGTTGCTATCATTCTGAACCTTTGTTGTCATGTTTTCCTAGTGGAACTCTTGCCGATTTCCCCCGTGAACGAGCAAGCAGTGTGCGCACAAGTAAACGACTAAGGAACGAACGAACGCAGAGATCACTCTCACACACGTGCTTTCCCGGTCGTCTAGCTCCCGTAGATAGAGTTATCTCCGCATGGTGCGGTGAGCGTGGACGACACCGCGACGTTACCTTCCGTTTAGCCGACTTTGCACTCACCTAGCTTGTTCGTAGGCCGGCGGCTGTGTTGGACGCCATGGTGGACCCCGTAGTTGAGGCGGGCGTCGTGGACACCTTGGAGGCACGGATGGATGATGCGAGGAGACGCCATGCGGCGAACGAGTACGGGACTCTCCCGCTGGCGGTCGTCGAGGCTGGCATCCGCGCTCTGTGGGCGGCGGAGCACCCTTCTCGACCGGCGTCTCCTCGACCGGTGAACAACGCTAGCGGCGTCGACGTCGGGGTCAACGCCGGTGATCAGGTCGGCAGCAGTGCGGGAGGCACGTCGAGGCAGAGAGGAGTGATACACGCCGATGAAGTCGGCGGCGTTCAGGCGCGAGGAATGCAGCGTCGGGGGCTGCAGGGGCCTCGCAGGGCTACGTCGGAGGCCGACGAAGTGGATTGGCGCCGATGTCGGCGACACACGTGACCGCGGGAGGGATTGCGCCGAGCTACGGCTACTTCAAATTTACGCCGGACAGGATCCAGGTCACCCCCCTGCTGGTCGGCCGACCAGACATTCTCACCTGGACGAAGGCCATTGAGCCCCAGCTGGAGATAGCCGGACTGATCGGCTTCGCCCGCGGCACCGTGGCGACGCCGGAGGAGATCTACCCCGACTTGCGTGCGGAGTTTCGCGCCGTGCAGCTGTTGACCTTCACAGTCATCTCGCGGTGCTGCTCGCCGGGCGTGCAGATCGCCTTGAAGTGGTGCCGAGAGTACCTCGACGCCGGCCACCAGGCGTGGCACTTTATCGAGTTGACATACCAGGTCACCGACGACCTGTACATCGGCCAGCTCGAGGAGCAGATGACGCACCTGCGGATGGGCGAGCAGGAGATGGCGATGGACTACTGCAACCGGGCACGGCGACTTCTCGCCACCATGAGGATGGCCGGCGTGCAGTACTCCACGGCGTCGTATGTCACGCACGTCCTAAAGGGGCTCCCGAGCAGCTACAACCTGCTGAAGCGGCTGTCGGTGGCGCCGAGCACGCGGGCGACACTCAACGAGGACTCCCTTACCTCGTACATCCTGCAGGACGAGGCGATGCAGGAGGCCGAGAAGTCCACGGAGCTCCTGCTGCAGGCAAACTACGCCGCCCCGGCGAAGCAAGGTAGCCGACCAGGGCAGCGCGGCAAGCCTGGCAGCAGTGGTAGCGGAGGTGGGAAGCTGGCCAAGGACGCCGACAAGGGTAAGTCGGCGAAGGAAGGCGGTCGCGGAGGAGGAAGTCGGCGAATCCGATGAGGACGACGCCAAGGGAGGCCGTGGGAGGTCGGCCAGCCGTCGTCCACGTCGAGGAAACCAGCCGCACAAGGAGAAGCAGTCGAACAAGTCGACCTCGGCGAAGGACGCCGACTCCTCTGCTAGCGGCAAGGGGCGAGGCGACGGGGAGGCGTCGTGCTCACTGGTCGGCGTCGTGGAGCCGACTGTCTCGCTGGCGCTGGAGGCCGATGAGGATTTCCAGGCGGTAGCGGCAGCCGTGCAGGCGAACCCGGCGGTGGTCCTGCTGGACAGCGGCTGCTCGCACCACCTGATGGGGACGAAGGAGGTCTTCGTCGACATGCAGCCGAGCGGCGACGTGAAGCACGTGCGCGGCTTCAATGGGGCGTTGCAGGACGTTC